AATATAAATCCCAGATTTGATGTTAAACAAAGGTGTTGAAGAGAAATGCTTAACAAATCATCATCCAGTTGTCCCAGTGCTTTATGCTTTACCTAAAACACACAAATCTATTGTAGATCCTCCTTATCGACTATAGTATCTGGTATTGGCTGCCTCACGGAAATGTTGTCTGTATTTATAGATTATTATTCACAACCATTACTGAAACAACTGCCTTCCTATTCGAGAGATACAACAGATTTTTAAAAATAAATTACAATCCTATTCCAATTTAGATTGGTTAGTAACATTAGATGTAACATCTCTGTACACGTCGACTCCACACAAAGAAGGTTTAGAATCTTGAGATTATTTTCTCAAAACTCTACAGAATCCAAGATTACCTTCTAGACGCACACCTCTAGCACCAAGTTATGCTAACCTGTTACATTTGAATTAGATTTTATTTACAATAATAATCCTTTTGGACGTTTAAGCACTGGGCAAGATACACTGACTGTTGGAAAGGAAGTGAAGAGGAATTGTTTTTGAATTCAAGATTAGGTTTTATTACATTTTCAGTTCAGAACAATTTATCATCAGTTTATTTTTTAGATGTGCTTATCTCAAATCAGTAAGATCTCCACCACAGTGCTCCGTAAACCAACAGACAAAACACATTGTCTGCTGATAGTCATCACACTGACAAAAGGGTCACCATTATATAGACTTAGACATGTTTGTGATTCAGAAGAGTCAAACTGAAGAATCGTTTTTGTTCAAGAGGATATCCACAAACTTGGTTATATTGGGGATATTGATAAAAGACTCTTACAAAGAGAGGTGTCTTGGATGTTTTATTTAAAGACCATGTCACCTTTGGGTCTAAATGAGGATTTTGATCTTTCATGTTTCTTGTAATATTTTTTTTTTTTGGGAGCAATGTGTATGAACGGCATGTTTTGCCTGATGTGTTATTGTCCCCATTGATTTTTGTTGAATTTTCTGCTGTTATAGATGGAACTGATCTGGAGTCTGTGAGCTTGGAAGTCTAATTACTGCCAGCTGTTGGTCTTTATTGGTCTTGATATAATCATTGAGTTACTGAGATCTTGTCACACTGTCGAAGGCAGCGAGCCGAAACGTTTGTCATTATTGCTAAATGTTTACTATCTACAGTAAACGTTTATTTTTATTTTTTGGTAACTGCATGCATTGGACACTGTGCTCTCCATGTTCTGATGTAGTGTGTAATGAATGATGTGTAGGGTGTGTATTATTGACTCATGTGTGTATGATTCGAAAGCTTTGTTTGATTTTGAGCACAGGTGAAATGGTTTAGAAGCGATTGTGTGATTTTGCCAGAAGAGTCAGGGGTTTTGTGGATTCAGTTTAAAGATGTGGATTTGTGTTTACGGTTTTGAGAAAATGAGTGATGGCTTCAAGAAATGTGTTTTAGCAATTCAGAAAAACTGTCAAATTAAAATGTTGCAGAAGTGCTTTTTCAAGCGAGTTTATCAGCAATTCTGTGTGAAAGTGAAACAATAAAGCCAGATCTCTATATCCACAACACAGCATCTGTTATATAATATATAATTTATCACGTGATTGTACCGTTACGCTCACAGTCAAATTAACATGCCATCAATTACAGGTCAAAAGTCTGAATTGTTCAGTTTTCCCATCAACTGATCATAAATCATTAACCTACACATTCATATTTAACTCCTCTTATATATGATAAGGTAAACAATCCAAAACCATAATAACTATAATTATTCTTTTAATGCTTTGAGTTGAATTTATGTAAATCAGAAACTTTAAAAAAATATAATTGTGTGTGTGTACAGATAAAATAGTAGGGTCCCGTTTCTAAATATATGATTTTAATTGTGAATTCAAGTAAAGTATTTTAAGTGTGTGTTTGTGGTCATTTATGCATCAATGTGCATTATGACTATGAATGTACTTATGAATGTTTTATGTGAAATGACGTCTGTGAAGTGACGTTTACACCGACCCTTCGTTTCAAATAAAAAAACACAATAACTGCCATTTAAAGGGAGCTCTAACAATCTTTATATTCCTTTATTTGCATGTTACATGATTAACAGAGTTCATAAGCCTCATTTTCTCACCAAAAATTACATTCTTTTTTTTTTCTTCTTAAACCCACTTTTGAAATACAACAAATTCAAATGACTTTATTTCCATTTCAAACACTTCATGAGTTCTTTACAGTGCAGAAGGGTTTAAAAAATGACTGCGGTAATTTTAGAGTAAATAAACACAGTTAGAAAATGTTCATTGCTTTTCATGAAGATGTCAGTCGAACGAGCCGGAAAATCCCTTTCTAGAGACTCCGGCGTCCCGTAGCAAAAGAGGAACGACAAAAACACGACGCACACACACACACACACTCATACTCACTCACACTCTCACACACTCACACACACACACACTCATACTCATTCACACTCTCACACACTCACACACACACACTCATACTCACAGAATTCAAGTAAAGTATTTTAAGTGTGTGTTTGTGGTCATTTATGCATCAATGTGCATTATGACTATGAATGTACTTATGAATGTTTTATGTGAAATGACGTCTGTGAAGTGACGTTTACACCGACCCTTCGTTTCAAATAAAAAAACACAATAACTGCCATTTAAAGGGAGCTCTAACAATCTTTATATTCCTTTATTTGCATGTTACATGATTAACAGAGTTCATAAGCCTCATTTTCTCACCAAAAATTACATTCTTTTTTTTTTCTTCTTAAACCCACTTTTGAAATACAACAAATTCAAATGACTTTATTTCCATTTCAAACACTTCATGAGTTCTTTACAGTGCAGAAGGGTTTAAAAAATGACTGCGGTAATTTTAGAGTAAATAAACACAGTTAGAAAATGTTCATTGCTTTTCATGAAGATGTCAGTCGAACGAGCCGGAAAATCCCTTTCTACAGACTCCGGCGCCCCGTAGCAAAAGAGGATCGACAAAAACACGGCGTCCAGTTTTCTTGTCATGTTACAGAGCATCAGGAGTAAAACACACACACACACACACTAAACACAGCGAAATTAAAGTCAGCTGATCCTCATTGAGTGTAACTGTTAAACACACACACTGCAGTGAAGCTGCATTCAGATAGAAAACACACGAGTCCTGATCCGGACTTCAGGACACTTGACTTTGGATCGGATCAAACCCAAATAACGGTGTTCAGGGCACGAGCGAGAGCTGCTGCGGACTACAGGAGACACACGACTAGCCCTTAAAAACCAGACGCCGAGCCACATGCGGCTTCATCCAATCAAGGCATCAGAGCTCACACGCTGAAAGCCTATTGGCTGAGAGAGCTGTCAATCAAAGGGCTGAAGAGCTCAGGAGGGACTCATTCATATATTAAAGACATTTCAAAAGTATTATGTGTACACACAACCTGCTCTTTGAGAACTTCAAAAGAAATAAAACTGGTAAAAAAGAAAATCAGGGACGGACGCTTCACAAAATCAGCGACAAAGAAAACGAATGCGTGTGTGTGTGGATTCAGTGTAAATCATCTCTAAAATAGCTTTTTTATATCATTTTCTATAATCGTTTGGCAGTCAGTGGATTCAGCTCATTTCTGTACAACTACTATTATAATAACTAACAGAAATCAGTCTCTATAAATAAGAATAGTAGTGCAGCCGCTTCAAAGGTAAATCTAGTTTTAGAACGAGATATTTAAATATTTGTATTAAAAATCTTTGTTTAGTATCTAATTTCAGTTTGTTACAGGAAGCATCAAAGCGCCACCGCAGATAACTAACTACTTATGAAGAGACCTGAACCGAAGATTCGTTTCGTTTCCATGTGAGGACATTCGATTCAAAAGAATATTTACAGACGACAGACGCGACGGGATGAGCAGCGGATCGAAGCCAAGCATTCATTGGTGTCGTACAATTCAGAGTTCATACGATTTCACAGACACGCAGAAGACGAGGGTCTGGACGGATCTCACGCTTTGCCACGGTAAAAATCATTCCACAGAATTCTACAGGTTTCCCTACAAAACAATAGTTTTTCACGAAAGAGAGAGAGTTCTCAGATGATCCAGGTTTTCACAGGAACCCTGAAGAAACACCTGCAGATCTGCCAGGAGTGGGAGGGGTTTAGTGTGTGTGGGCGGAGCTACACGTATGGGAGGGGTTTAGTGTGTGTGTGGGCGGAGCTACACATGTGGAAGTGGTTTAGGGGCGGGGTCTGTTCTGCATCTGTTAAAGATGCTCCGATCAATCATCACAAACACAGACGGACGTGAGCGTCTCAAACGTGATCTGATCTCGGAGAATCTTCATGATGAAGATTCAGCAGAAAATACCGTGTGTTTCAGTCCTTTCTGCTAGTCATTAGCTTTAAACCACATCTAAAGGACTTTACGTGATTCTAGCGCTCCTTCATTAGTTTACATTAGGCAGATTTGGGAACAGGCTGCAGGGTATTATGGGAAAACACAATGAAATGAACCATTTTTCTAGATGATTTCGCTCTGGGTTTCTGTGGTAAATCACACACATGCACTCAGACGACAGACAGACGGGCGTCACTGGAATTAAGTGCTTGAACCGGTTAAACGACAATATTCTTGTCTTAAAAAGAGCACCTTCTTTCTTTTCTCCATGTCATATTTTTTCCTGATAATAAGACGGTCGTCCTGCCGGGGCGTATGGTGAGCGTGGATGGACGGATGGAAACAGTCTGAGACGATCGATCGCGTTCAGAGTGTCTGCGATGAACATTAACACTTCAGAAGAGCCGAGAGAACAGACAGGAGGAGGAGCCAGAATGATTGACAGACGCAGCCTGAGGCATTGATGTCCCGCCCAGTGCCAGGTTCTGAGAGAGAGAGAGAGAGAGA